CGTACAAGGTTGGGGGCGTCACTATGTGGGGCTTGTTGTGCGGATTCTGAGGCTGCATTGTGGAAAATGCAGTTTCGCGAGTGGCGCCGCCCCAGGCAAGGTCGCGGCTGCCGAGCCGGTCGCTAGCGGGCATCGCGGCCGCCGCGGCGCGGCGCAGCGCGGCCGACGCGCCCACCTGCTCCGCAGCTGCTCGGGCGAGCGCCGCAGCAGCTCCGGCCGCCGCGAGACGAGCTGCCGCACGGCCCTGCCGGGCAGCCCTAGCAGCGCCGGCAGCGCGTCCAGCTTGGCACCCACAGCCGCCGCAGACTGCGTCAACAGGTCTGGCCGCGCCTGCAGCACCGCCGCCGGCTGCAGCCCGCGCGCGGAGAGCGCCGCCCACATTGCCTCCGACGCCGCCGCAAGCCGCGCCGCCGGCCATGCCAGCAGCTCCGGCGCCGCCGCGAGCGCGGCGGCGGCGTCGTGCGGCGCCAGGCGCAGCGCGCTCTGGGACAGCACGGCCAGGCGGCGGCGCAGCGTGGATGGGGGCACCAGCAGCAGCGGCTCGTGGCGGGCGGCCAGGCGTAGCACCAAGCTGAGTGGCAGGCCTAGAGCGTCAGATAGGCCCTCGAGGCGCGACGCAACTGGCGGATGCAAGGATGCAAGTAAGGAGGGGGCATACAGGGGGGTCAGAGCAAGGCGCGGTTTGTTGCCGTGAGGGCGGAGGGCAGCGAAGAGGGGGAATCGCAACGAAACGAGCCGCGCGCGTTGCCCATTGCATGCAGGCAGCGGGCCGTGCGCCCGACCTGCGACTGCAGCTGCATGGGCACGGCGGCCGCAAACCCGGCTGCGGCGTAAGCTCCTCTCCTGGCGCGACCGGGCCCCGCTGGCGAAACGCGCTGGTGAAGCCGACGCCGCGGGTGCCGCAAGTCCAATAGGGCTGCCCCGAGGGACCCCGCCAAAGTGCGGGAGCGTCTGGGTCCTCACGCATGCTACGCACCCGGCGGCGGCTGCATTCAGCGCCGCAACCCACCTGCAGAGATGTCTGTGGGCTCCAGCTGCTGCAGCCTCTCCTGGCACCGCCGTGCGTGCAGCAGCGAGCCTTGCAGCAGCTCCTGCCACGCCAGGGCACCTGCAGTGGCCTCCTCCTCAAAGTCTAACAACGCAGGGCTGAGTACGTTGCCCAATGGCGGCTGCGCGGGGACGACTTCCCCAACACCGCTGCTGCTGCTGCTGCTGCTGCTGCTGCTGCTGCTGCTGCTGCTGCTGACGCCGAGCAGATTATCAGGCTGGGGGTCAGGGGGCGGTAACTGCTTCAAACGGCGCTCCAGCCGTGCCACCTGTTGCGCCAGCCGGCGCGCGGTGCGCCTGCTGTGCTTCAGATGCCGTGAGTTGCCCAGCGGCAGGTGCGTGGTCGCGGCGCCGGCGGGTGCACCTGCCGCGCGCGCCCACTGGCTGCTGACAGCCTCACGTGCGCCGCCGTCATCCGTGCCTGATCCGCTTCGAGGCCCTGCTGCTGAGATCGCGTATGGTGCATCCACCAAGCCCGAAGAGCGCGCCCTACACACCGCCGACGCCAGTCGGCGACCTGCAGTAGGGCGTGCAGCGTCACGTCGAAGGTGCTTCACAGAACTGCACTTGCTATCATGAATCACACCAGGAAAGTGAGCGGCGTGCCGACCTGGTTGGAGGGCACCGGCGTTTGCGAAGCCCTTCATGTCGATGGCTGGTTGCGTTGGCCCGGATCTCAGCTACGCTCAGGTGCAGAAGACGACGAGTCTGACATTGTTTTCCGCTCAGCAGCACCCAGCAGACAAATCCGCGCTCCGGGGATCTGTTCCCAATCTGGACGCTAATCGCTCAATATTCAAGCGCATGACATCTCAGCCTCCGTGGGTCATCTGCGAGGCTGATTGGTGGGTTGCGACCATTTGGGAAAGTGGACGGGCGCTCCTGCTGGTGCTGCTGAGCATGCTGTGCATGCAAATGTGGCAAGCTGTCGCAAGCAGCCCAGAGGCTTCCTGCGATGGAAAAGTGTAGAGATGATTCTGGGAACCCTGAAATATCTCTTTTTCAGTAGTTGCTTTGTGGAATGAAATGATTGCAGACAAGCACAGGACCCAGGTTGACAGGTACTGTAGGAGTGCAGGTACTGTAGGGGGCGGTGGCCCGGCATACCAGTATCAGTGCGACATCAAACTGTGTTCAATGCTGTCTGGTGCATCAACTTGGGGAACTCAATGCACGTGTGGAAGCCATTCGCTTTTGGCGCCATGACAGCAGGACCTGCCCTCCGTCCCCGGTAAATGAGTGCACGCGTGGGAGGCGCCCAACAATGACACTCCACAGCTGCGTGCGTGAAGCTCGGCCTTGAGATATACTGTGATGAAACAGCATCGAACCGCCCATCGACCCATCCTCTCCCCCAATCGCCTCGCTCCCCCAGCATCAGGGAGCAATGGGGGGGGCGCTTGAGCCGCCGGCGTGTTGTTGACCTGCACTCGGGAGTCTCGTGATGTGCGGAACCACTCCGTGTTGCTGAATCAACACAGCTATCGACTGTAATACAAGCACAAGGTCTCAACTTGTCCTACATCTGCTTAAGTCTCCAAAAAGGAGTCATGGAGCTGCAGAGCAGCAGCGCGTCATAGCAGTGACGCCGCCCTTGACCCAAGCACATCGCACGCCAAACACTGCGAAGCGACCGCCAGGTTGAAGATATTGATACTGGATTTCTCATCATCTTCAACCCCGGAGAGTCACTCGTGCTAGGAGAGCGGGTTGCCCGTGCACTCATGCACCGGTCCGCCGAGGGCACGCAAATCAGATGAGTGCCCCGATTTGTGAATAAACCAAGGAATCTTACAATAAAAGATAATATGGCCGGTATCTCGCTGGTGATGCTGCTCCTGCTGGCGGCGTCAACTCGGCAGTGCAGTGCTGCGGAGCGCGCGGCCCAAGGCACGCGCGCGCCACGGGCACTCCTCGCCGATACCGGCGTGACGGCCGCTTATGAAGCCACGCATGGCGCCGCATCGAGAGATACGCCTGCAGGACGCGCCGGCAGGGCCGCCCGAGCAAGGGCTAGGTGCGACCGGCTGCTCAAGGCGCACTGGTGCCAGGCGTTCTACGCCCAACCGCCCCAGGCGTTCAAGCCGCCGCCGGCCTACGGACGCGCATGCCCCGGCGAGCCTGCATGCAGCGGCATGGGCGTCTGCAATGCCATGACAGGCCTCTGCGACTGCCCAGCAGGTGCGCAGAGCTGCAGCTGGGGTTGTGAGGGAGTGTTGCTCGCCCAGACCAATGCGTGCGCCAAGCGCCCACACAGCGGCGGACCACCGATTTCGTCGGAGTCGTGGGCTTTTGGAACCCAGTTTCATCGCAATCACACCCTCCCAGGCTGGGGCGGCAGCGACTGCGCGGCGCCCGACAAGCGGCCCTGCACGAACCGCTACAACGAGGCCGAGCGCGCCGGCCAGGGGCGCGCCAGCCACATCGGCCCCGACAAGCGGGACGCCGACTGGATGGTGCCCGGCTGGACCGCTTCGCGCTGCGCAGGTGGGGCGCCGCGGCGGATCAGGGTGCAAAACCTTGTGACGGCCTCACTAGCAGCTGCAAGAAGCCGGAGCACATATGTGACGACCTCTGGCAGCTGAGCCGCGGACGCGGGAAATGATCGTGTCTTGCATGTTCTATGAGCGGAAAGGTCATCGGCGGAGACTGGCGCCCCGCCCTTGCCGCCCGCTGCGCCCGCCGCCTGCTCGACAGGCGTCTGCGACGACGACATCGGCGCCTGCTTTTGTGACGGGCCGAAGTTCGGCCGCGTCCCGGCGCCCCCTGGCAGCCCGCCGGGCACGCCGCCGATCAGGGCGGGCCGGTTTCTGCAAGAGCACTGCAAACCGAAGGAGGTGGGCCGTTTGCGAGAGAGCAGCGGCCCCGAGGCGAGGGGGCCGCGGAGCGAGGGTCGCCTCCATGCATGGCCCCATTGGATTTATTGTTACGCAAGCAACGCTGCTCTGTGGTGCCAGGCGCACGCAGATGTTTTACCAGCGACGAGCCGATTGTGAGCGTCGCAGAATCGTCCAATGCAGGGCTGGTCAGCCACCTCTTGTGTGAGCTCCAACCCTTATCCCTCACTCTTACTGTTCCTTGTGGCTTGCAGGACGCCGAAAACAGACCAGTGAAGTGGGGTACCGTGCCCTATGAGCTCATCTACGGATCCCATGGCTGGTGCAACTCCTCGACACCCGCTTACAGGTCAGACCCATCACAGCCATGATGCGCCGCGCATGTCTACCCGCATGTCGGCAGCGCCAGAGTTGCTGATGCCGGCCTCGGCTGCTGCTGCTGCCACAATGTATGCATTCTTCGCATATGCATGCGCCCCAACAAATGCACTGCTGTGTGCACCCCGCCCCAGTGCGCCGCACCAACACAGCCCCTCTTCACCACTCTTGCACCAGATGTGCGTGCTCATTGGACGGCCTGGCAGGGCCGCTGTGCGACCAGCCCACCGAGATGTTCTGCCCAAACCAGTGCAGCGGCCACGGTGATTGCAACCTCGGATTCTGCAAATGCCACGCGGGCTGGTTTGGCCACGACTGCGCCGGCAGGGTGGAGGGTGAGGAGGCAGAGTCGCAGGAGGAGGTCCCCAGGGGTGAGCTGGGCTCAGGGTGGACCGAATGCCATGCGGACAAGTGGCAGCTATTGTGCTTGCCCGCCGTTACCTCAGCGAACACAGCCACACAGCTCTGTTTCCATGCATGCTACATGGAGCATGCCTCTCGTCATTGCGGGCCGCTGACCCTCTCAATCTGACCTCTGCGCGCTAGGTGTAGTGGGCAAGCCATGGCTTGGCGACGTTGTGCGGCGCCCGCCCGCGTCGCTGAAGCAGGCCGCGGAGGTTACAAGGCGGCGGCCGTTCATATACGTTTACGACACCCCTGCGCCGTACGCTGCACGCATGGTGAGGCCGGGGCTGCTCGCTGGCCAGCCAATACGCCACCCTACCAGCTGGCACACACCCTGCCTGCCCATCCACATGCTGGTGCGCTGCCTGTGAACCGTCCCCTCATGTAAGGAATGCCCCCCCCCCCGCCTGACCCACACACGACCCTTGCGCCGCTTCTCCCCTGCAGCTGCAGTATAGAGTTGAAGGGTGAGTGATCGAGTGGTTGAGCTTTGAAATTTTGCTCTGACGTAGCACAAGTCCCCCCACAACTTTGCATCGGTCTGACAGCTCCATGAAACCTGGCTGTCCAAGTATTGCTTGGCTCACCTGCAAAACGCCACCCCGCAGGAATACGTGCACGTGGCGCCAGTTTGACGCCAATAACAAGACTACATACACCAAAGACTGGCTATACAAGGCACGATTGCAAAATCAGACAACAGCGCGCGAAGACTAGTCAAAGTGTTATGGGGGGTGGCTTGCGCGCTCCAATCTGCGCTGCGCCAGCCTGCGGCCTGATCAGCACCTTACCTGCAGCACCCATCGCACAACCCGTTCCGTAACTCAACTCCTGCTGTGCCACTGCCATGCCAACTTAATGCGCGCTCCCGCTCAAATCACGCCAAAACTCCCTCAGGCCGAGTCCCTATTTCACGAGCTGCTGCTGCAGAGCCCCCACCGCACCCTGGACCCAGAGGAGGCGGACTTCTTTTATGTGCCGGCGTACACCAGCTGCTACATGTGGCCGGTGCACGCCTGGGCCGACTACCCCTTCTGGCACAGCCATGGTGGGGTGCGCACGCAGCAGCAGGCCCCGGGGGCAGGCCCCCAGGAGCGTGCAGCTCAGTTTGTCAGGGCCTTGCTGGCTGCAGCACAGATCATGATTGCAATTGCAGTCTGCAAGCATCATAACGCAACAAGAACCGTCCCGGTGAAGCACTTTGTCAAACACCTGTGGATGGCCAAAGGGAACACTGCATCTTATTGGTCATAGTGGCAGCAACGCATGTCCTCTTTCAACATTCCTGGCCCGCCGCAGGCGGCCCCCGCGTGCGCCATGCGTCTGCGATGACCCTTGAGCTTCTGCGCCACATCCAGTCCGCCTACCCCTACTGGAACCGCACCGGGGGCCGTGACCACGTGTGGCTCTTCAGCCACGACGAGGGCGCCTGCTGGGCCCCGACAGAGGTCTACACGACCTCAATAATCCTAACACACTGGGGGCGCTTGGACCTTGACCATCGGTCAAACACGGCGTTTGGTGAGGCTCCGCGGCTTGGCTCCCGCCCCGAGGCTGCGGTACTTGCACTGGATGCCTTCAACCCCACGGGCAAACTCCCGCTGCAGCGTCCCGTGTGTTGGGGACCGGCCACCCAAAGTCCCTGTCAGACACGCCTTTGTCGTGTCTATCCAAAAATCCTCGCTCTTGATTTGACCCCTTGCCTCCTTTGCACTGCCGTACTGCCGTCTTGCAGTTGCAGACAACTACACACAGGAGCGACGGGACCCCGCAAGCCCCCTCACTAAGGATGGCTGGACGCACTTGATCACAGGCCACCCCTGCTACACCCCAGGCAAGGTAGGCAGACGCAGGTTGACCCTCTGCCCTCATGACTGTCGGAGCCGCCGATTACGAGGTGGCGTTGCCTGCATGAGTTTCATTTCATGCACCGAGCTGTGCAGGCGACTTGTTGAAGAGTGCATCTCCCTGCTCTTATGAAGACCGCCGGCTGGGAGGCTCCTGCTGGCCAGCCTTTGCTGATGTTCTCGGCACCTTGCGCTGCCCTCACAAGCCAAACGCACGGCGAAAAAGCCCCCGATTAACTTTGCAACCGCCCCGGGAAACAGGACCTGGTGATTCCAGCCGTCAAGGCGCCCGGTCAGCTTGAGTTCTCGCCCCTCATGGGCGCCCCCCTGCTGGAGCGCACCACCCTGCTGTACTTCAGGCGCGTTTTTGGCTGCAGCGCTGGGGTCCTTAGGAACCCGCTCTGTTGCGTGGGAATATGCGCCGCTGCCGCCCGTTCGCTCCACCCAGGGCAGCGCTTGCTGCTGGCATCACGAATGTTCAGTTTCGCCCGTCCGGTGCGCCGCCAGGCAGGGTTGTCCGTCGCCAGTTCGTTGTTACCCTTCCAGCCAACCCACTGTATTATTGACCGCGAAGCTTCTGGTATCTCTTTTGCCCGCGACAAACATTACCCCCTGTCGCCTGTCCCCTCTCATGTGTTTGTGCGCAAGCGCAGGGGTGACGTCGGTAAGAACCGGCTCAAGCACTACTCCCGAGGCATCAGGCAGCGGCTGTATAAGCTGGCGCTGCGGCATGGATGGGCCGAAAAGTATGCCATCAGGATCGGCGACAGGGGTGCGCCACCACAAGCCCCGCCGCAGGGGCTCCCCCTGCGTCTGCCTGTTGCGAAACAAAACTTGGGGACGCCCACGCGGTGCAGTGGTACCTTCTGCATCTGGTCAAACGTGTGGCATTGACAAGATGAAACGCAATCATACCTTCGACTGTTGCGGCCCTGAGACGTATGGCTGCTTCCACAGCTTCTGCTGCCACCCGTGTGTTGCCTGCAGCTGACGTCCCTGGTGACTACAGCCGTCACCTGGCCACTGCCAAGTACTGCCTGGTGTCACCAGGTTGGCAGTCACATTGGCACGCAAAATCGACCTGTGTATTTGATTTCACCATGATGACGAGCCGGCGTTCGAGTGGCAAACCCCCCATTTGCTGCATGCACACTGCCCAAGCTCCCCATACGCAAATATCTGCACCCAGCTGCGTGGCCCTTCATGCGCAATCCCTAGGCCGACTCTTGCAACCTGGCCGCCATCCCCTAACATGTCCACCATCGTCGTGAGTCCCACGATCTGTCGTGCCGCCACCTATGCACTGCACCGCAGGCGACGGCTTCAGCGCGCGGGCAGAAGACGCCGTGCTCCACGGTTGTGTCCCCGTCATCGTGATGGACAACGGTGGGCGGCGCGCTTTATCTGCTAGAGCGAGGGCGAATCTGCCAACCAGCCCTTAAAGTCCTTGAGAAGCTTCATGTGTTTGTGCGTCACCACTCGCAAGCCCGCAAGTCCTCTCATGCGCGAGACGCGAAGCAGCGTCCAATCTATCCTGAATGTGCGCCGGCGCCCGCGCCCCGCCCGCAGTGCACACCCTGTTTGAGACGCTGATGGACTGGGACTCCTTCAGCGTGCGCGTGGCGGAGGGCATGCTCCATGCGATACCAGAGATCCTGCTGTCGATTCCCGAGGTCCGAGGTTGAACGCTTGCGTCCGGCCGATTAGTGGCGGCCGCCAGTGCAAGGACGGCACTTGCGTGCTGGAGCTGGCTGGATGAATCTGCGAACGTCGATTCTGGCAGTGATATGTCGAGCATCGCCACACTGCCCATCAAGTTCGCCACTGTTGCTTGTACATCCTCTTTGCATGCGCCGCCCCCTCAGGACCGGTACCTGCGGATGCACACGCGGGTGCTGCGGCTCATGCACAGGTTCATGTAGTGAGTGTCCAGCTGTGAAGAGGGTGAATGGCAGGCGGCCTGGCGGCCTGCATGAGCACCCCCCCCCAAACCAACCAGCCATTGTGTGACGGCTTGCACATCCTCTGCCGCACGCGCCCCGTCAGCCTGCTTCACGCCAACCTTGTGCCATCACTGGCCTGCCGAACTACTTTTGGGCTGACGGAATCCCCTTTGACACCCCCTTGCACACAAACACACACACACACACACACAGATGCAAACACACCATCATGCACGTTCACACAGACTTGCACATACATAATAGTCCACCACTCCGCTCCTGCTCCCGCCTGGCGCAGCCTCAACCACCCTGCCATCCTGAGCGACGCTGCGGCTTTGGTCAAGGCCAACCTGCAGAAGGCGTCTTGGGATGACGCTGACACTTCTCTTATGGGCGCGGGGGGCGCTGCTGCAGGCAGCTACGCAGGGAGCAATCAGCTGGCGGGTCTGCTGCCGTCGTCCAGTCATCAGCGTGACGCAACCACCAACCCAGAAGCGACATCCTCTGGCCTGCTTTCAGAGGCTCGGGCAGGAGAGGATGCTTTAGCCTGGGAGGCGGGGCGCGGCGCGGGCAGCGACGACGGCGACGAGCATGGCGGAAGGCAGGATTTGGACAGCCGCGGGGGCCGCGAGGGCGCCGCGGCGCTTGATGAGGTTGCTTTTGAAGCCTTGATCGCGGAGACGCGCAGGCGCAAATCAGTGGGCGGGCACGAGCTGCTGCCAGGGGCCGCGGCGCTTGCCTTGGATGGACAGCTGGGTGGAGGGCAAGGCGGCGGCTCGGGCTTCACAGCCACCGCACGCGCCGTGGAGGCAGCGGCCGGCACGCACAGGCGGCCGCTCGCCGGCCCCCGCGCCGCCGCCACTTCGGCCGCGGCGCTGCCGCGCCAGCGCCGGCGCGGCCAGCAAGTCGGGCGGACCGATCCAGGGCGGCCGGATGGCTCAGGCCTTTTCGTTATTGGAGATGTGGAAGTTGAGAACGATGCGTTCGGGACGATCATGCAGTGGCTGCACGCCAAGATCCCGCACACGCGAGGCCGCAGCCCGCAGCATGCGCAGCAGGAGCACCACAGGCGCCAGCAGGGCGGCAGCGGCGCTGGTGACTTGTGAGCTGAGTGCTCTGGCGTTGGACAGTATTGGACACATTGGGCATACATTCTGCAAGATGTGCGACATAGGTTCTGCCTCAATTACTTGTGCAGTTGGTGGTGTTGTTACGGTTCTTTTGTTGCATGTTGGCAGCGGATTGCATTACATGTTTTCACAATTTCAAATCAATCTGCAGAGTCTGTGCTTTCAAGACACCGTGCAGCATTGCTGGACCGGGCTGGTCAGAGCAATAAGTTTGTATCCCTTCATTCATCAACTCCTCAGCAATGCCGCAATCCTCCCCCTCCTGCTTGGTGTCACGAGCCACTTCATGCTTGTGTTTCATTGTCACATACACTCGCTCCTCCTCCGATTTCGTTGGCACCCCTTGCCTGCACCCTTTGAGGCCTCTTGTCACGTCACTGTCTGTTGTGTGTTTGGGTTCCCCCTTGGCCTTCGTGCAGCTGCGTTGGCACAACGGCTTTAACAGCTCACTGCGTGCCAGCAGGGTGCCGTGAGGGGTTCACCTGCCGTTGGTTGGACCCTGGCGCTGTTCAGCAAGCGAACACACTCCTGATTCGTAAGGCCTTCCTGGACTTGGGGCGAGGCTTTTACAGTTCACACGCCTGTAACCAGAATTCCAAGCGCTGACAGCAAAGTGAAGTTCCAAGTGCTGACAGCAATAACAATGGAAGTTTGTCAGCCGGGTGCAAGTTGGGGCGTTTGACCGCATGAGAATTCCTAAAGCATGACATAGGTGGAAAGTTCTGTCAGAGGGCGTGGTGAAAAGCAAGCATATGATTGCTTGCATGTGGGAGTGGTGAAAAGCAAGCATATGATTGCTTGCATGTGGGCTTGCTTTGGCCTGCATGATACCATCTCAATCAACAGCACAGCCCTAACACCCGCGCACGCACACACCGCAGCCAAAGCTGGCATCACTCCCGCTTCTTTGCGTGGAATTCGGCCTCGCCTTCCCTTTTCCCGCCACCCCGCGCTCGCCAGGTGAGCATGACAGCTGCCGCGGCCAGCGTGCCCAGCACGGCCGCAGCGGCGGCGGCGCAGACAGCGATGACATCAGCATTTGAAGCCGCCCACCACGGCATCCGGCTGCTGGGGGGCATGAGGTGGGACCACCCATAATTCAGGGCCATCTCCAGCAGATCTGCGGCCGCATCTTTGGAGCGCCTGCCGGCGATGGCGGCCAGGCCGCGCATGCGGTTGGCGGCTGCACGGAAGCTGCCGTTCTTGTCCTCCAGGATCGTGGTCAGCGCGGGGCCCAGCGCGCCAGACCGGACGTCGCCCCTGTAGTTAGTCAGGGAGAAGCGAGCTGCCGTCAGACAAGGGCAGCATGCCCCCAAGACATGCGCCTGCAGGGGCGCCACGCAAAAGCGAAAGGTTGGGTCAACGCTCAGGCCCAGCCCGCAAGTGCGGCCTTGAAGCGAGCGCCACCCACCTCGTGAGTCCGACGGCCATGCCCAGCTCTGACAGCTTGGCAGCGTTGGTGCACTGGTCGCCTGCACGCACGCGCGCGGGGGTGTTAAGGCCTTGCCTCCCTCAGAATCCAGGGCTCCTGCGGATACCGATGCCTGCCCATCGTGGGGCTGCTCGGCAACCGCTGCCCTGCGCGCGCACGCCGCCTGCTGCGCAGCGCGCCCCAGGACCGGCACGGGACTGGCGGATTTGAAAGCGGCTGATGCATCGCCGCGAGGTATCTGTCCACTCCAATGGTTAGCAATCAAAGACGCGTCGCACCTTGGACACACATGATGACCATCGGCAGGCCCGCTCTCATCGCCTCGTGGCACGACTCGATCCCGCCGTGGGACACGAACGCGGCCGTCGCTGCGTGGCGTAGCACTGCGCCCTGCGGCACCCAGCGCTGCAGCAGGACGCCGCGCGGCAGCGCGGCCCCTTCAAAGGCCGGCGCGTTCTTCGGCGAAGTCGCCCAGATCGCGCCGTCGGCCAGGCCAGACTCTAAGACCGCCTCGAGCGCCTGCGTGCGTGGGATTGGAAGCGGGCGTCACCATGAAAAGGGTGAGGTGCGCACATTAGCACCAGCGTCGGGCAAGGCGGCGAGAGCAGGGCTGCCTTCCAGGAGTTTCGTAGAAAGTCCCTTGCGGCTGGTTGCCAGTGAGGCTGTCACCAGATACGAGCTTCCCACAGCGCTGGCAGCCGCGCAAGGATCCCACGAGCTCTGCTGGTTGTACCACCAGCAACGACCCCAGCGGGAGCTTGCCTGAACAAAGGCCCGCACGTCGCGCGGTGCCAGCACCACCCATTGGCCCAGGGCGACGTACACCACTCGTCGCCGCCCCTCCAAAAACGCCTCCAGCTCGGGCGTCAGCTGCGCGTGCGGCGCACGTGCATGCGTGCGTCGACAGTCATATGCGTGCCGCAAGCACGACTCCGAGCAAGCAAGCAGGCAGGGCAGATGCAAAAGCGCGCGGCCTCCGCCAGCGGTCGGTACGCCTGGCAGGCACAAGGCAGGCGGGCTTTCATCCGCAAGGCTGACCCCTACCGTGCTCGCGCGAATGTCAAACGGCCCCTCCCTTCAGCCCTGCACCCAAGAAAGCTCGCTGCCACCCTATCCACACGGGGGGTCGCCGAGCCGCTCCTAAGGCCGCCCCATCGCGCGCCACACGAGTGCCAAAGCGCGGCGCGCCAGCGCACCATTGAATTCTCGTGCGTGTCGACGGGCCCGACCAGATGCACTAATGGGTCCAAAGGCCGCGGCACCTCGAAGCCTGCGAAGGTGGTGACGATCTTGAGGCTGGCCGCCCACCTCTTTGCCGGGTGGCTGTACATCGGCTCGACGCCGAGCCTTTGAGAAAGACCCCGGCGGGGACGCAAGGCGGCAGGGAGGGAGGGCACGTCAGCAGGCCGGTTGCCGCAGGCCCCGGATACGCTGGGGCAGCATAGTCTTGCAGTGTCAGGCGAGGGGCCATGCAGCCGGCGGGCCAGCTGCGTGGTGCAAGCTGCGGCGGGTCCATCACGCGGCGCACCGCGCCCGACTGCAC